GCCCTCCCCTTCTATGTTCATTGTTCTTATAGATATCACTTGTGGATGCGCTCAGTACTCTTGATAAGGTTTGCCCCATGGAGCCAGGCATCTAGGATTCATAGGTCAGTCATGGCAGTCCACGTATTGGTCAGAAAAGGAGTCAAAAAGACTAACTGCAGACATTTTTGCATAGAGTGGGTTACAGTTAAACCGTTATGGTTGTCGGTGAGGCCATTGGGCCATTTTCCAATACTTCCTGTCCTTGTGCCGTCTATATAAGAAATAGGGGGAGTGGTGGTAGCAGTTGTCACCAGGATAGGAAGACACAGACAACAATAGAAACCCATAATCACTGGTTCCAAACCTTCCTCACTCTAATAAAAAGGTGTCTATGTATAGGCAGCCAAGAACAAGGTGCCGACTATCCTACCTGGCGAAGATGCCCAATCACCAACCTTTTCAATGATCTAGGCAAGTCAGCAAGACGACAGAACCTTCACCGCGGACGGCTTTGCTAAATGTAACCCCTCCTGGGACATCCAGATCGCAGATTAAAGTAGTGCGGTTCCTCCTGGCAGCAGGGAAATGGACCACTGCAAGACAATGGGGGGGGGGGGGGGGCGGGTGATCACACTGCAGCATGTCATCACATGACCTAACAAAATGCAGTCGATGTTTAAGCCGGCAATACGTTTCCTCTCTGGCCAACTGTATCAAAGTGATTCCTCTCCGGTCATCCCCTTCTCTACTGTGCAAAATGCCAAATACTTACTGTGCTTGAATGGACATTTAGGCTCATGCACATGAACGTACAATACCCTGCACTCAGATCTATAAGTTACGTTGTTTATTATAAATAGGGAGGGAGCCGCCTGCAGCCTGGCAACCAAAGACGCTCAGCGGCACACGCCACCTAAGCCCTAGCAATCAAGGATGCTCCATGGCCTGAGCAGTCTGCACCCTAGCAAGCAGGACCGCTCGGTGGCACAAGCTGTCTGCGCTGTAGCAACCAAGGGCCTTCGGTGGATTGTGCCGTCTGTGCCCTAGCAACCAAGGGCACTCATCAACACAAGCCACCTGCACCCTAGCATCCAAGGACATTGGGTGGCATGAGCTGTCTGAGCCCTAGCATCCAACGATACTCAGTGGCACGAGCTGGCTGCACCCTAGCAACCAAAGACACTCGGCAGCACAAGCCATCTCCATCCTTTCAAATCAAGGATAATCTGGGGAACAAGCCACCTGCGCCCTAGCATCCACAGACGCTAGGCGACAGGACCCATCTGCGCCCTAGCAACCACGGACGCTGGCTCTACTGATCATCACCTTTCACCATCTCGTGGAGTCACGAGGCGGCCCAACGAAGTACTGATGGGGTGGTCATAATAATCTGGTGTGTGTACATTGTATTATATATTATTAATATATGCATTAATGCAATAAACACCTCTTACCATCCATGGGCAAAATGAGTCACCCAAATTCCAATACAATCAGATAATGATAAAGAATGACAGATCTGAATTGTGATTGGTCGCCAGCCTCCTGTAAAAGTTGTTACATTGTTGCACTTACACTCTCCCACGTGACGTGTAACATCTCTGCAGCTCTACACAGTGTAATCTGGTCCCCCCTTCTATATACGATCAGAGATGGGAGATTCCATTCTAGAACACCGACAATAACCCTCCGAACATCAGCTGCATCTGACAGCTGCAAGGTTGTGCGCTGACGTCATCGCCCCGCCCACCTACCTTGCACACGTGGCACACCTCTCCGTTCCGAGCGGCTGAGCTTCAGTCCGCTACTTATATAGGGAGCCGAGAGGCAACGAGAGGGGAGCGCCGGGACAGAGAGGCCGGTGGGTGACAGGAGGAAACTACACCGCCACCTGCGGTCCGCCGAAGGATGTACAGCTATGAGCTCCAACTGTCCCAGGTGACAGTACACATCTGATAAGAGAATTACAAGCACAGTCCACCTTGTGCAAAGAAATGAATGAATACTCCAAAACTGATGACAGGAAATAAAGGTGCATTTGTTATTTGTTTACATTTGGAGCCTGAATAGCAATGCACACAGGGTTGGTGCTAAGGTTTGCCACCTTTTCTTCAAGTGAAGCCCGAACACTTTAGCGCCGCGCTGCAATTTTTTTTAGGGGGGAATATAAAGGAGAGAGTAAAGTCTTCAGGTGGCCTGGTAGTTTGTGCGGGCTGGTGGTCTGTATGACTCTCGGGTGGGCTGTGCGACTCTCGGGTGGGCTGTGCGACTCTCGGGTGGGCTGTGCGACTCTCGGGTGGGCTGTGCGACACTCGGGTGGGCTGTGCGACACTCGGGTGGGCTGTGCGAC